AAGTGGATTTTCCTGTGCTGCTGAGCTCTTGACAATTGTATGGAAGATTCGCATACAAAACTTGGTAGAGTAAAGGTTAGAGCTTATTGTACAGGTAGAACAGATGGGTCCAGGTCCCTCCCCAGGTGTCCTGCCTCTCTGTTACCTGTGAACATGCCTCTCTGGTTCTGGCCTGGACGCTGCCCTGTCCCGTGAACAATCTCCCTGTCCTGTCCCAGGCAGTCTCTATTTGGCTCCTGTGAATAGTCCTCAGGTCCCGTCCCCTTGCGCCCTGGACCTGCCACTGGGCCTCTCCTCTATACCCCCACGGTTCTTCTTGTCCCCTCCCGGCTTTCCTAGTTTCTGTCCACAGCCACGTAAGCATGGGTGAGACCCGTGCTCAGCATCTTGGCACTGCCTTGGCATCTGAGCCCTGCCTATATTCTGCCTCCCTGTCCCCCGCCTAAATACTATGAGCCTGTCCTGGGCCATGCTTCTGGATGCACCGCCCTACCTGGTCTGGGGAGAGAGGGGTGGGGAAGTCCAGATGCGGGTGCTCAGGGAGAGAGAGCGCACTGGATATGGGGCTGGGAGCTTCCTTTTATCTGCTGTCGTATCCCACCTCCGAGCTTCCCATTATCTACTCTGATTGGCTACCTGTTCCCATTGTCTACCTGATTGACTACCTGTTCCCATTGTCTACTCTGATTGGCTACCTGTTCCAAGGGCGAGGACTGAAAGTGACCTGCTGCTCCACACTTCAGCTCCTGCTGTATCACTATGACTTACCATACCGTTAATGGTAAGGTTCCCTGCAGACAGCAGTCTAAGAGAGAACTTCCCCCAGAGTGTCCACCCCACCCCCTGAGGTAAACTCAGTTCTGAGGACCAGTTCTCAGGTTCTATTGCTCTGGTCATTGGTTGTTTTTAATAATACAGGAGGAAGCACTGGTGCTTTTCTTTACATGCACAGTAGCAGGGAGAAAGGCGTTCCTGCCAGAACTCCACAGTCCCAACCAGTGGTGGTAGCTGAGCTGCTTCTCCCTCTCTCAGCTACCAAGGAATCTCTCCCATTCCTCAGAAACAGGAAAACTCACTTGCCTGTCCTCTTGTGGTTATGATGTCAGCAGGCCTCATGAGCAGCTGATGTGAGATGGGAGAAGAGAGATAGTCACTTTCTCCCAATCTTCCCCTGCCTCTGGCACCCAGGGTTACTGGGTTCTTGTCTCGCCTCACAGAAAAGAATTTCAGGAGTAGATGAGCAGTGAAGTAAAAACATATTTTAATTGGAGGTCTTTGAAGGAGAGGAGGGAGAGAAATTAGGAGAGGGTAGAGAGTGCTGAAGAGAGAACACAGGCTTCTCCAAGGGCGGAGAGAGCCCCTACACACATCCCAGCATGATGTGTGTAGGAAAGCATGAAAGTCCACATCTCAAGGGGGGGGGGGGGGCGACACATGTGCTCAGGCACCATATGTACTTGGCCTCGTGGGCAAAAGCAGTACATGGGCTCAGGAGCATATGCTCACCCTCCCTCTGTTCAAGGTGGCCTTTATAGTGTTTCTCCAACCTGCCTCCACATGGAGCTTCTACATAGGTAAAAGTCTATTGCTAAGGAGGTTACCAAGAGGAGTAGGGCTGGGGGTGGTCATGGTCTTCTTTGAAATTCCTTTCCTGGTCTTTTGTTTCTGCTGGAGCTTCTATGGGGCTCCAGTCTTCTCTGGGTCTGTTGCCTGCCAAGTGAAAGTCGTACCAGCCCTTAATTCATGTTTTATGCAAAGTTAGAGTTTTGCAACTTCAGTGCTATTGATATTATTTCCCAGGAAATTTCATTGCCATTGCCTTGAGGCAAGGAGTCCTGTCCTCCTGCTTTAGTTATGTTCCCCAAGTTCCTCCCCCAAATCAAACTCAAGCCATCCTTAGCAATGGGGAAGGGGGGATGTCCTTCACCATGACATCAGTTTCTACCCCACAGGGGCTGTGGAGACTTTTCCAGTCAGGAGAAACTGAGGGTCAGGGGTAAACTGAGGAGAGCCTTGTTCCTCATTTACTGACCCTGAGGACGGAAGAAAGAGGTCAGGGTGGAGTTGGGGATGTGGCTCAATTGTAAGGCTCAGGCATTGCACGCATGAGACCTGGGTTCAAGCCATCAACTGCATAAAGAAAGTGAGTCGAGGTACCATGGAAGGTGCAATTGTGAGTTGAGAGTCTCTTCATGATATAGTGTAGGATGAATTCTCTCCACCAGGTTAAATAGGTGCCAAGATTCTAGAAAGAAAGAGAGAAAGAGAGAGAGAAAGAAGGAAGGAAGGAAGGAAGGAAGGAAGGAAGGAAGGAAGGAAGGAAGGGAGAAAGAAAGAAAGAAAGAAAGAAAGAAAGAAAGAAAGAAAGAAAGAAAGAAAGAGAGAGAAAGAGAGAAAGAAAGAAAGAAAGAAAGAAAGAAAGAAAGAGAGAGAAAGAGAGAGAGAAAGAAAGAAAGAAAGAAAGAGAGAGAGAGAGAAAGAAAGAAAGAAAGAAAGAAAGAAAGAAAGAAAGAAAGAAAGAAAGAAAGAAAGGAAGAAAGGTAATACAGCGTTCTGTCACTAAAATGCCCCCTTACAAGTGTGAGGTTCTGAGTCCATTGAGCTCCCTGTGCCAACCGCAGTCCTAGCAGCTCTGCTGTCTGGGATCTACAGACCCAAGAGTAATTTCTGGTCACACAGCATCCAGGCATGTGTCATCAAAGGAAAAGCGCTGAAGTACAGGAAAGCATCACAGCTGAAAAGATGTTCAAACGTTGTGGCCAAGAGTGAGACTGCTGAGGAAGACGTGAGCTGTGCAACTACCAGGATGTGCCTGGATATCACAACTAAAGCCGTTAGATCACACCATCCCTCCACAGCTGGTGTGCAGACACTGAAACGTGCCTTCCTTGAGCCACAGTGCAAAAAAGATCAGAAATGACTCCAGTCAGACTGAGCCCTCTCCTTCAGACCTGAGTCTTCCTGTAGTCTCATCTTCTTCCCACTTCTCCTTCGTCTCCTCAGCATGGCCTTCTGGAACCGGTCGTATGGAGACAGAAGTACCCCAAGAGCAGCAACAGCCATGTAGGGGTTCTAGAGTTTTGTTTTCTACATTTTCTATTTGGTTTGGGAGCCACTCCTAGCAGTGCTCATGTGGTGCTGAAGATTGAAGCTGGGACTCCTACATGCAAAGCGTGTGTTCAACCTTTACCTCTCATGCCCAGCACTTGAGTTCTAAAGCGCTGGGTTGCAAAGGAGATGAGACAGCAGAAGCGGTATCTAGGTATCTAGAGATGGAATGCGGAATGCGAAAGCACTTGTGTATTCTCATTTTCATTTAAATAAGTCACAGGCTTGCTTGAATGCTGATGAGAAAGAACCAGCCTAGGAGAGACTAAAGACAAGAGCTTTGTGCACTGAGTGAGGCATAGAGATGGGAGGGCACCCAGGGTGGTGGTGGAGAGTCGGTCTTTAAATATGAAGAACCCCCTCCTGCCATACACACCCTCTTTAAACAGGAGAAGGAAATACATGTTTTTAGGTTCATTGTCCTGCATTAGAAAAAAAGAGTTTACTGGTTTCTTTCTTTTGTTTAATTCTGACATTCTTTGTGTGTCTTAAGATGAGGGAGGATTCTCTGGGATCTAAAGTTTGAGAAACATGAAGAAAACTTCAGATAGGAAGGGGAACAAGCTCGTCAATAACTATGAAAGGATTGTTAGTTGGAAGAGGGAGGTTGAAATTATGACACCAACCACTTGTCCAGTTTCTTTTTAATCCATGGTTTTGCTTGTCCCACCTCCCTTCCCTCTGTTGAGGTGCTGCCATGACTGGGGGCCACCCCCTCCTTGGCTGTAGCACCTGCATATTTGATGGGCACATTTTGTTGTGGTGCTCCACAGGTCAAACACTGCGGGTGTGGGGCTCACACATGTGCTCACCAAGGTTATGCTCTTGATCAATATACCTACATATCTTTTAATTTGGATGCTCACTGGGGATTTCTTGTTTTTGTGGGCAGCTCACACATGCCTGGATGCAGCATGGTCAAAATTCACAGAGAACATAGCCAGACACAGAGGAGAGCTGCCAAGACTACAGTTGGTGCACGCAGGAAGATCAGGACTAGAACTTGAAGCCTCCTGTTGTGGTGGCATGTTCAACTACTGACTTTAAAACATTCTAAAATTAGACTCTAGGGGCTGGAGAGATAGCACAGTGGGTAGGGCGTTTGCCTTGCACACAGCCGACCTAGGTTCCATTCCCAGCATCCCATATGGTCCCCTGAGCACTGCCAGGAGTGATGTCTGAGTGCAGAGCCAGGAGTAACCCCTGTGCATCGCCAGGTGTGACCCAAAAAGCAAAAATAAATAAATAAGTAAATAAATAAAAATAAAATTAGACTCTAATTTAGCACAGAGACATCTCTCAACTTCCTTCCTCACCTATCCGTGGAAGCTTTGTCTATCAGAAGCTATTCTAATTTCTAGAACAAAGGAAGGCAGGTCACATCCATAAAATAGAACAGATATGCCCCTGCTTTGATAGCTCTCCTTTACTTTTTTTCCCCTTTCCATTTATGTAAAACAATGGATAGAAGGCATTGCACGTGTAAATCAGAGTAGAGGTTTTTCTGTCACAAACTCTTTATTCGGACTTTGTGTGCATTCACCGATTTCTCCAGGAACATTTATTACATAGCTTCTACAAAGTGCTGGTCACAGCAGATGGGTACATCAGTACATAAGACAAGTGTTGCCCTCAAATGATAATTCTTACAGCCTGGAGTAGAGATCTGTAAATCGACCTTGCAATGATTATTCAAGGTTCAGGAAAGTGCACATACAATGTGCTGTTGTGCGGGAGAGAGGGCAACTGAAAATAAAAAGATTTAGTCACTTTTGTGTTATCATCTAGCAATTCCAATATTTCCCCCCAAAACTTATAAATCTATATATGAAAGAGAACATTATTTAAAAAAAAACATTGAGACAAAGTTAACACCTTCTGTATTAATTAAGGTATTTAAAGATCACGCGATAGATGGAGAGACTTTGCCCTTGCTCACGGAGGAGCACCTTCGAGGCATTATGGGATTGAAGCTGGGGCCGGCTCTAAAGATCCAGTCCCAGGTATGGCGCCTTTAACTACATGTGTGTTCATGCCATGATGTTCAAGAGAAACACCTTTCTTTTTTTTTTCCCACAGTGGTGTGAAGAATACCTATTCAAACTTTTAATTAAGGGTTTCCTTTCTGTGGCTACGAACATGGTAGAAGGGGGAGCACCAAAAAACAGTGAATGGGGGAGGGGTGACCTTTAAAGAGAACTGGGAAGGTCGAAAATTGTGGGGTGCTGGTAATTATGCAACAAACAATTCTCTTTGCAACTAAGATGTAACCTGATTTGTAGCACTTGCCAATTGCTACAGTGTAACTATTTTAGCAAGGCCCATACCTACAAATGAGATGCCACCTAACATAACGTTGCTGATACAGAAATGGGAAGAGATATATGTGCGGCCCCATTTTAGATGATCTTTACCACGCGAGTAGAATAGATATAAATGACCTCGAAAAGCAGAGATACTGATAAATAATAATAGTAAAATATTTAAGAAGTGAGGGTTTTAGTTTTCATCACTTTAGTTTTCAGTATCACTTATTTAATTGTAAATTGGCATACTTTTAATTTTTAATCCTGGCATGTTTAACTACTGACTTTAAAACATAATCAAAATTTACAAGGCGATTTCAAAAGTTGGAACAAGCCTGTTCCCAAGCCCCTTTCCTCAACACTGTCTCAACTGCTCATTCCAGACTCAAGTCCCATTGCATTTCAATGGATTAATTCGCCTTTCAACTGTCCTTCCTACTCAGCCTTTGTCCAGGCAGTGACTGGGCAAAGTAAACACAGTCAAAAATGGCTCTTCTAATACTTAAGACATGACTCTTGGCTTCCAAGTCTGCAATAACTTCCTTTTCTTCTAGAGTAAAAGTCACGTCTCTCTGTTACATGCAGTCCTCCCAACTCACCACTACCACTAACCTGGTTTTCCTAACATTCTACTTCCGTCTCCCCAGTCACTGCTTTTGCCCAATTGCTCCTGGGAGTTGCTTGCGCGTATCCATCCATACACCCATGCTCTGCTGCCCGGGGTGCTCTTTGCCTGGCTACTGAAAACTGTTTATGATCACCCTATGTTAAGTTACACAACAGGAAAAAAGTAATGTTGGGCTGGAGCGATAGCACAGAGTGTAGGGCGTTTGCCTTGCACATGGCCAGCTGGTCGAGCCGGGTTCGATTCCTCTGCCCCTCTCGGAGAGCCGGGCAAGCTACTGAGAGTATCTCGTCCGCACAGCAAAGTCTGGCAAGCTACCCGTGACGTATTCAATATGCCAAACACACTTAACGACAAGTCTCACGAAGGAGACGTTACTGGGCCTGCCTGAGCAAATCAATGAACAACAGGAGGACAGTGCTACAATAAAATAAATAAAATAAAATTATACAACAGGGAGCTGGGGAATATGGCACAACAGTTAAGCACATGCATTGCAATCACATAGATGAGTTCCATCCCCGTTACTGCAAAACATACAAAAATTTATAGGCTTTTAGCCCCCACGCATTCGACTAAATACAGCTTTTTCTGTTCTCCCCTGTCCACCAGTGGGCCAATCATCCTCAGTCATGCAGTGTAAATTTCACTTGTTCATTATATTGATGTTTATTGTGGGTTTCCCCTGCCCTCTTTACCATAAACTCCATGAGAGCAGACATCTCAGTCTGTTTTCTTGATTGATGTGTCCTTAGAATAGGCCCATATTGGGCACAAAAAACAAACAAAAAAAAAAATTACTTGCTGAATGAGCTTCCTAAAAGTGAAACCACCAAGAAGCATCAACAAATTCTTTCCAGAATTTTCACAGGACCACACCTATTTATAATGCATGTTTATGCCAGGAACTGAGATTTCACAATGTCCTTCAAAAAACTTTTTTGGCCTAAAATTTGCCAAAAATTTCTTTTACCCTAATGCAAATAAATTACTGTTTTTATTGGTATTCTTTTTTTCCAGTTTCTTATTTTGGAATAATTTTTTTTTTTTTTTTGCTTTTTGGGTTACATATGGCAATGCACAGGATTTACTCCTGACTCTGCACTCAGGAATTACCCCTGGTGGTACTCGGGGGACCATATGGGATGCTGGAGATCGAACCCAGGTCGGTCGCGTGCAAGTCAAGCGCCCTACCTGCTGTGCTATTGCTCCAGCCCCAATTTTGGAATAATTTTTTTAAGTTTTGTTTTGTTTTGGCTATGCTCAGGGGTTGCTCCTGGCTCTACACTCAGGAATCACTCCTGGCAGTGTTCATGGAATGGACAATGGGATGTTGGGGATTGAACCCTAGTTGGCTTCATGAAAGGCAAATGCCCCACCCACTGTACTATCTCTCCAGTCCCATTGGGAATACTTTTTGATACAGAAAAGTTGCAAAGATAGTACAGAAGAGTTCATTCATCTTTTCCTAATGTTAATCTCTTCCATAAAGTAGCATATTTGCCAAAAATAAGAAATTAACAATATGATATTCGGTTAGACCAATTATTTTATGCTAGTGAGGGTATTTTGACATACTTCTTATATTGGTGAGCATCAGTAACTTGTGTTAGTGAGAGTCTTTTGACATACTTCATGTCACCATGTTTCCCCCCTCCCCCAATCAAATGTTCTTTATATTTAACTTATCACTTTGGATTTTTCAAGCAATCCTCACCAAACTGAAGTCACACTTTTTTGGTCGGTCAGGTGTGAAGAGGAGAGTTAGAGAGGACTCACCAGCAATGTTGAGGATGCCTGAGAGCCCTCCCAGCAGTCCTTAGCCAACCAGCCAGATGGGCCAATGCTCAAGCCCAGCAGTGCAAGGACTCTCAGGCCCAGCAATGCTGGGGGCCTACAGGGCTATCCCCAGTGGTGCTAGGAGGACCATGTAGTATTGGGGATGAAATTCAGGGCCTCACACATGGAAAGTATGTGCTTTGTCCCTTTGATCTATAGCCCTACCTTGTCCCGTGTCATTCTTAGTCTTTTCCTCACTAGCATTATCCCCTTATATAATCCTTTTTCCTTTTTCGGAGGAAAGGGACCACATCCAGCTGTGCTCAGAACTTCTTTCTGGCTCTACACTCAGGGTTCACTCCAAGTGGGCTTGGAGGGAACACATGGGGTGCCAGAGATTGAACTCAGGTCTGCTGTATGCAAGGCAAGTGCCCTATTCTACACAATTTTTCTTTTTTTTTTTAAAGGATCCCAGCATATTGTACAGGGCTCATGGTTCTTTTCTTGCATATGGAAACTTACTAACTCAGGTTCCATTCCCAGAAACACATACAATCATCTGAGCACGCCACAGTGATCCCTCAGCACAAAGTCAAGAGTAAGCTCTCAGTTCCACCAGTTGTGGCCCCCCAAATAAATAAAAGGTGGTGATGAATATAGTGAAGAACTGTAAGGAGGGGTGTTGGGCAGAGGCCAGTCAGAGCTATGTACTCTATTGGCATGCAGAGATAGGGATCAAACTCAGGGAGCCAAACCCTAGGCTCTTATGCAATTAAACAAGGCTGCTAACATTTCTTCTGCTCCCATAAGATATCTGTAGGTGTCTCCTTGCAACATCTACTGCGCCGGGCCCTTCTGTCCACAGAACCAGGCAGGACTGGAGGGGAAGGTTGATGGGTGGCAGACTTCCAGCTTTAAAGTCTTTGGGGTCAGAACCAAGGGATCAGGCAATGCTCAGAATTGAGGTTACGAGAACTATAAGTTCCAGAAGAAAAATAGGTAGGACTCAGGAGTAGGATTGGTGAGGTATTGCAGAACGGGACTGGGTATTGGTAGGACTCTTTTAGGACCCCGAGAAAGGGAAGAACTCAGTGATGTACCCACTCACAGGTGCAGATAAGGTCCAGCAGAAGCAGGAAACAGAATGGGAAAGTTGCAGCTTGATCCGTGGTGTTACTGCAGCTGCTATTATGGTCCTGGGAAACAAAGACCTGAGCCTCAGCGCAGGCTGCCCATGGTGTGTTGAGGTGGTATATTGACTGTGGATTAAGACAGCAAAGGGGCCAGTTCTGGGGGAAGACTTCACCCTCCTGTCCTAGGGGAAAGAAAGACACCGTCATGGCCTGAAGAAGGGACTGGTCCTCCCACAATGCAGACCCTGTTCGGCCTGTGCACATGAACACAGCCTCACTCCTCTACACATTGGAGCCCAAATTGCTTTGCCCTGTCAAACCTCAGAAATTTATTATTTCTTTGTTTACTAGGTGTAAAAACTTCATGCATTGCTCATTCTTCCCCATATATATAATTTTACATTCTTTCCCATATATATTATACATATATAGGGGAAATCATTCACCTCCTCTTTATTTGTCTCGTGTCCATTTTGCCCCCCTCCAAAAATTAAAAATTCCCCCTCCCTTCCACCACCACAGCCTAGAATCAAGTCCCCAAACTCTGCTTCCTGACAGAAACTGGCTCCACATCCTGCCAAATTGGTTTCAGTCAGGCTAAGCGGATACACTGAGTTATTTAGAAATTCATAGACTTAATGGCTTTTTTCTTCAAAGGTGTCTCAGCAAGTGGAGAGTGTGTTCTACAGGAAAGGCCTTTCACATCCTACACATGCAAAACAAAAATTTGATCAAACAGCAGATTCATCCCCTCTTTTGGATTTTCATGCCTGGAGTGATACATTGAACACACCTTGTTCCCAAGATATAATAGTTCCTAAAAGCACTGAGCAAGATGGTGTGAGAAATTGACTCTCACCTCAGGAGCTCTGACAAACTTGAATCTATTTTCCAAAGACTCTAGGATACAATGCAGTGGGTGTGAGGGGTTTTAGGACCAGATGGAGGCTGCAGGGGGTCATGTCAAAGAGACTTCCTAAAATAACCTTAGCACAAAGTGGCTGGAGGTATATCCTTGGAAGCAAACGCTGAATGAAGATGATTTGAAAATATATCAAGAAAACTACAGTTGGAAATTTCTAAGGGGAAGTCAAAAGAAAATCAAGTATGGAAAAAAACCCACAGAGTTTCTTGCCCTCATTCATTTCACATTCCCGACCCCATCAAATAAAGTGAAAAAGAGAACCTAGAGGAGACAAGAGCAGGAAGAAGGGAAGTAAAGAAACATGAAATAGAGAAATAGAATTGATTCCTCCCAAGAACTCCACCCTTTCCCACTGCAGGTTTCCATCCTGAAGGAGGGTAGAGAAGGACAGAACTGAAGCATTGAAGTCTGGCCACTGACTATTACTCAGCATTTTATTTCTGACATGAAATTGTATTATGACTAAAAATAACTGGAGACTCATTATCTGAGGACAAGGACATGAAAAGTTGCAATACTCACTTCAGATTTCACCCAAGGGGTGGGAAAGAGTTATCTGTGCAGAACAGGTTTGCCTTGGCCACATGGCAGGTAGAAGATTGTGTCTTTCTACCCCTGGTCTCTGAAGTCCCTCTTTTAACTTTACATTCAACAGAAAGTGTCTCTAAGAATATGCGAGAAATTGATAAGTTTTCTCAAGAAATGGACAAGGATGTGAGGGAGACTACTTAGAAATACTCTCTTGGACACTTAGCATTTGTCACTACAAAATGTATTTTTTATCTTAAAACTTTGTTTGAAAATAGAAAATTCTGGGGAGACTCATTGTCCTTCTCTCTCAGAAGAGAGCACACAACGACACCACCATCACCAGGCCACCAGACCCTGAACCAGGCTTTCACCCTGGAGACCCCTCCCACCCCAAGGGACCCAGCCCTAACAGCCGAAAACCTCCAGAACTCAACAGCGCAGGCTCACAGCCACTCTCCACACGCTCGGGCCGAGCCTCACCCATGAGTGAACTTTCTCCTGGAAGAGGGAAAAGAAGGAGCAGAAAGGTGTGAAGAAAAGGAGAACATTTTCTGCAAATGTTGTTTTAGTTTTCAGTTGTCTTCATCTCCTTTGTGAAAATAAAATAAAAGCAAAACCACCTAGTGCAAGGAAGTACCATGCATGTGATGGTCACACAACATTGTGAATATATTCAATGCCAGAGAACTCAGACTGCTTAAAATTGAAAATTTTAGACACAGTAGTGAAGAAACCTGGCCGGCGGGCTGCACAACACCCGGAGAATTCTCTGAGCCCTGTACCAAGCCGATATCTCCAGAAGGTCCTAGATGGGGCAGGCGCTGTCTCCCTGCCTTCTCCAGATGGAATCCTGTTGAGCATGAAATTCTACAAGCATGGCTCCAGAATGTGGGCACCAGGACTATTCTTCCCAGCTGCAGAGGGACGCTGGACTGGGCAGTTCTGCCCCGGCTCCCAGTCAGCCCCTGACCCCAGAAATCACGCCTCAACCCACCCCCAGCGCCATCTTGCTGCACACAGCAATGAAGAAAATTGGCTGGTGGGCTCCACAACACCTGGAGAATTCTTTGGGCCCTGTACCAAGCCGATATCACCGGGAGGTCCCAGATGGGGCAGGTGCTGCCCCCCATCTTCTCCAGAAGGAATCCCTGTGAACATGAGCTTCTACAAGCATGGCTCTGGTATGTGGGGACCAGGACTATTCTTCCAAATAGCCCACATAAGTGGCCACTCAGTCTTTCCTGATATGCAAAGTGAACAATGGAAAGTAAATGATCTAGGGTCTGGCCCTGGAGGCAGGCTTGAATGGTGGTGGGAAAATTCGAGCAAAATATAATGCCCAGCAGAAATGCATCTGGACTGTGCATTAAACTATGTTGCCATGCCACTCCGGGTGGGCAAGGGTGTTTGTCCCTCTGCCTTTTCCCCCTCACGGCGGTGGCATGGTGGCCACCATCTTTCAGAGCCTAATGGAGAGTCAGGTATGAGACTGCAGTGACGAGGCACGCAGTGCCTCATAGGATCGGGGTGGAACCGGCCCTGCTCTCCACCCTGACAAGGCCCCGAGTTGCCACCCACGAATGCCTCCTCCGGCTCCTGAATGACCATGATCCCAGAGGCACACAAACCAATCCAAGAACCCAGTGGCTTTTGGCAGTAATCCCTTCAGACTTATTACTAGAATATCAGTAACAGTGGCCACATGACATCATAATCAGCAATAGAAAACAAATTATCTAATGATGTCTTTTTGGCAGGTCTGATTGTTGGGGAAAATTCCAAACAATAATGGTGGGTCTTTTGTCGTAATATTGAATGTGATCAACATAGAGAGAGAGTAAAGTGGAAATCTGCCACACAGGCAGCAGGAGGGGTGGGAAGGGGAGTTTACTGGGGTTCTTGGTGGTGGAAAATGTGCACTGGTGAAGGGATGAGTGTTTGATCATTGTATGACTGACTGAGACTTATACTGAAAGGCTTTGTCAATGTTCTCACGGTGATTCAATAAATAAAAAATTATAAAAATTTGGAAATTTTAAAGTTGGCTATATATATTTTACCACAACAATTTTTTTTAAAAAAAAACAACCTCAAATCACCAATTAAAACTCTTTAGATCCAACTTCCTTCATTGAAAAAAAAATCTGAAACAATGAAAGTATTTTGAACACAACTGAGGGTATTCGGTGCTATTTTAAAATTATCTTTTGATGAGAAAATAGCTCAACAGGCTATTTTAGATGAGTTGTACACAGAATATTCCATCTCTGGCATATCCCTGACACCTGAATGTCTCCAAGAGTTGCCCTGGGCACTGATTCAAGAATAACCCCTGAGCACAACCAGTTTCCCAAAAACAAAACCAAAAAATCAGTCATTTGGTGATGTGCTAATAGTAATGTGATTTTTTTAATTGTGGGAAGGACATATAACATAACATTTTCCCTCTGAGAATTTTAAGTGTACAATACAATGTCATTTAAAATAGGTACAATAGCTTATCTCTTACAATTGTATACAAAAATAAGTAAAGAAGAAGAAATAATAAAAGTGATATATATTGTGTCTGAGATTTGGTTTAATTTTACCTGAAACCTAATAAACTTAACCAGTTACTATTTATGAAAGTTAAAAAAATATATATGAAACTCTTGGGTGAATTAAGAGAAGACTTTGTTACTCATGACTCCAGGAGCAGCCCAAAGCTCAGAATATTCAGGTAGAATCCTTTGCTCTCAAGTGCCATATGGGCATCTAAATTATCCCTAACTGAACTTAGGTTTCTCTTTAGGTCTTTGCTACATAGGGAAAGGTAGGCCCATGGAATGACCACACCAGCAGAGATTTCTTCACAGCTGATGGACACTGTGTTCACAGAATGTACTTTTTTATTTTTAAATGTAGGTGTGCTGCTATTTATTCAGCCGTTGGTTAAGCTGATTGAATTGGGCATGAACTCCACGTTGCTCTTTTTTAAAATTTTATTTATTTATTTATTTATTTGTTTGTTTTTAGTGAATGACTGCGAGATACAGTTACAAAGCTTCACTGTTTGAGTTTCAGTCATACAATGATCAAACACTCAACCCTCCACCAGTGCACATCCTCTACCACTAATGTTTCCAGTATCCTCCCCCCATCCCAACCCTCCCCCTGCCTCTATGGCAGACAATCTCCCCTATACTCTTTTGTATTGCTTGTTATGAATAGAATAAGATGTTGCGCGGTCGCAAGAGCAGCTGCCTGCTCCTGGAATTCTAAAATTTTAGATAATTGAGGTGTGGAGGAATCTCTGCAGTGAGCTGTTGTGTTTGGAGGTTCTGAAAGTTGGCAACCACCAGGGTCTCTAAGGGGCAGGCGGAGAGACAAAGCCTGCCCCTGTCTGTAGCACCCTCGTATAGTCGGCCTGGCTTACAGTCCAGAGGCCTCTCTGCAGCGAGCTGCTCGGTTCAGAGATCCTTTTGTGTGTCTCTGGATCTTGGCCATTAAAGAGCTTAAGAAGCAGCTGGAGGCAGTTTGTGGGCCTGACTTCCAGGGTCTCATGGGACAGGGGGATGAGAGGGACTGGCCCATCCCCTATCCCTTGAGGCCTGGAGTTTGCCCTTACTGAACCCGCATACCTGCACTTCTCATTGGGTTCTGAAAGTTGGCATCTCCAGGGCCTATTTAGGGGGCAGGTGTTGGGTCGACACCTACCCCCATCTGAGGCACCCCAGTGAAGTTGGCCTGGCTTAATGTCTGGAGGCTTCTCTGCAGCAAGCTTCTTGGTTGGTTCAGAGATTCCTTTGTGTGTCTCTGGATCCAGCTTGTTTGTGTCCCTTGTTTCCATCTTTTCCAGAGAAATAAACCTTTGGCATATACCCTGCAGGGCAAGCCCACGCACCTGTAGGGCACTGCACCACTGGTCCTAACTGCAGCCCATAAATCTATCGAGATTTATGGGTCTCTGAAATATGGCCAGTAAATGAGCTTGTATAGCTGAGCAGGAGGTAGATTGTGGGTGTGGCTCCCATATACTTTTGGCTGTTTAATTTCTTGGTAAACTTGGCCCCAAGTTGTTGGGGTCCGGCCAAGGGCACAATGGCCATTTTGGGGTATCAGGAAGCCTAAAAGTCACCATCAGGCTGCTGATGCACTCACCCTGCAGGTACAGGTTGAGTAGCTCGCAGTCCCATACCCCCACAGAATTTACTTTATTGCAAGCCTGCTCCTTGTCCAAACATTAAGGACTGAGGAGGAAATATCATCTCACTTTTTCAGGCTACCAAGTACATAAACAACCCTGAGTGGCCCTTGTGAAAGAAAAGGTAGGGCCAACTTTGCCGTGCTGGTCCACCCAGCATAGCTGTAGAAACAAAAGAGGCCAAAGAAGAATGTTTCCAAGTATCATGACTTG